AGATGAAGAAACGTTTAAAAATGAAAAAGTAAAAAATATTACATCGTCCAGATGTGGAGTTCGATGTTTAACTTGTCTTCGCACATTTCACTTCATATGTGCAAACACAATCCAGGATGGATTAAAATCAGAAACTTTTAAGTGTAAAAGTTGTATGTCGAGTGATCCTTAATAATAATATTTTTTTTTGTTCTAATGATCTCATATTTAATAAAATATTTTATAAAAAGAACTTAATACTTATTTTCCATATGGCCAATAACTGTGTATCTAAGATGACAATTACTGTGTTCTAGTGGCCAATAACTGGGTTTTTGTGTATTTTTTTATTCATAATATTTTTTTTATATATTTGTGTAGTTCAGATGGCTAATATTTTGGTCAAACTGAAAAGTTGACATTCCAATATATTCAAAACAACATTTTTAAGAATATTGTATTAAATGGTCTTAAATGAGAATAGCATGAAGACAAGAACTATCCTTAACTGGCCAATGACTGTCTCATTTACCCTAATTTAAATGGATTTAAAAAACAATTAATTTATTTTAGTAAAAAAATATATCACAAAAAAGTAACAAAAAAAATCAATTTTTTGACGAACTTTTTTGAAAAAATTGGCAGTAATTCGTCCATAAAAAATTTGATGGATGGGTACTTTCGAGAAAAAATTTTTGACGAACTTTTTTGAAAAATTTGGCAGTAATTCGCCCAAAAAAAATTTGACACATGGGCACTTTCGAAAAAAAAATCCGATTTTTCTTCTCTCTTTTCTCTCTGGATATTCGTCAATTATACAGGAATCGAGGTATTTTGAGTTTCAAATTACGTAAGTTGCTTTGTGAAAGTCTTGTATTGTCCATCCTAAATTATGGACTTTTAATTTACTATCCTTGTTTGGATCAAATAACCAAATACAGACTTCAAAAGATTCAAAATTGTTGTTGTCGTTTTGTATTTGGTATCAGAAAGTATGACAGAATATCAAATAAAATTAAAGAACTTAGCTGGCTCAATATAGGAAATTTATTTAAATATCAGATGGCGGCCACGGTATTTCGAATTCTTTTAACCTCAACTCCCATATACTTAAAAAATAAATTGATATATCGAAAAGATCTGCACAGTTTACATTTGAGATATCCACACAACTTAACGATTCCGAATTACCGATTATCATTTTTCAAAATATCTTTCACATATAACGCCATTTCAATATATAACAGTCTACCTAGGGAAATTAGGACATGTTCTCTGACATTTTTATAACAAAATTATAAAACGTTGCTATTAGTTGAGCAATAAATACAGTGCTAACGTTAATATATTATTAATTTCAAACATTTTTCCTTATTTAATTGTATTTTAAGTTCCATTGATTTCAGTTTAGATTAAATACAGGGTTAACATTTTTTAATCATAAATTAATTGTATATTAAATTTCTTATTTTTTATATTGTAAATGATGGATACCTTATTATAAATATTGTGTAGACAAACGTTTGCAATAGTTATTTTTAATAAACTGCCATTGGAAGTACTTATATTAATAATTTATAGTTTGATTTTTTAATTTATTAATAACCTATTTCTTTTGGATGGAAAAACGAAATTGAGGCCTAGACAAACGAAAATAATGTGTGGACAAACGATTGTCGTGTCTAATTCGTATGAAATGTATTAACATTGTCCCCAAAGACCATCTGCATTATTTTTTTTATTTCCTAAATATCTCTGTTTTGGGGGGTGGACAAACAAATATTTTGGTTGGACAAACGTGGAAAAATCGTGGACAATCGAATTCCACTTTGAAATTATAAAAAAGTTTTTATGGCGGTGCTGTGAAATTTGGCTAAAATTTTTAAATATGCTGTAATTTTTTTTTGAAGAGTGGACAAACAAAAATTTGGCCTGGACAAACGAAAATAATGTGTGGACAAACGATTATTGTGTCTAATTCGTATGAAATGTATTAAGGTTGTCCCCAAAGACCACATGCATTATTATTTTTATTTTTGTAAACATCTCGGTTTTGGGAGGTGGACGAACGGAAATTTTGGTTGGACAAACGTGGACTAATCGTGGAAAATCGAATACCACTTTGAAATTATCAAAAAGCTTTTATGGCGGTGCTGTGAAATTTGGCTCAAATTTTTAAATTTGCTATAACTTTTTTTTGAATGGTGTACAAACAAAAATTTGGCTTGGACAAATGAAAATAATGTATGGACAAACGATTGTCATGTCTAATTCGTATAAAATTTAGTAAGGTTGTCCCCAAAGACCACCTGCATTATTTCTTTTAATTTTTAAATATCCCGGTTTTGGGGGTTGGACAAACGAAAATTTTGGTTGAACAAGGGTGGACAAATAGTGGACAATCGAATGCCACATGGAAATTATCAAAAAGTTTTTATGGCGGTGCTGTGAAATTTGACTAAAATTTTTAAATATGCTATAATTGATTTTAAAGGGTGGACAAACAAAAATTGGGACTGGACAAACGAAAATAATGTGTGGACAAACGATTGTCGTATCTAATTCGTATGTAATATATTAAGGTTGTCCCCAAAGACCACCTGTATTATTTTTTTATTTTTGTAAATATCTCGGTTTTGGGGGGTGGACAAACGAACATTTTGGTTGGACAAACGTGGACTAATCGTGGAAAATCGAATACCACTTTGAAATTATCAAAAAGCTTCTATGGCGGTGCTGTGAAATTTGGCTCAAATTTTTAAATTTGCTATAACATTTTTTTGAAGGGTGGACAAACGAAAATTTTTGTCGGACAATCGTGGACAAATCGTGGACAAACAAATGGCAATTTATTTTTATAAAAATTCGGATTTAGCTGTGCTTACTTCACGGACCTTAAAAAATCACATATACAAATCCCGCTCAAAACAAACACAATGTAAATAAACAAATATCCTGCTTATAGGTGACAAATGACAGGCGCGTGAAAATTAATTTAAAACGCGAATAAGTAGGATCTTCATGAAAAGACGGATTTCACTATGAGCCCACGAACACATACACCACTGTGGTTGTTTTCTAAAAATGTGTCTGTTTTGATTTGAGTAATTTAGTCGTTTTTAATTTTGGCGAATGCTAAGAATGCATCCACCAATTTTGTATATTTTAAATATTATATACCACCAAATTTTTAGAATTTACAACGGATACAAAGTAAACTCAGATTAATTCAAAATAAAATATTAAGAAATGAGTTTTCCTTGCGAGTTGGACACACATGATTTAATTAAAATTAGGGAATTACTTTACTCCAAATTATTACTTTGTGATCAAATTTAATTTGCTTTAAAAAAGGTATACTTGTTGCATGTCGCTAAAATGCATCATTTGGACGAAAACTTAATTTATGGTACAGCAAATGTAATTTCTCAATTTGATAATGTTAAATCTAGTAGGCAGTTGTCAAATGTAGTAGCACTGTCAAGATTAGTCTTACATACAAGCATCAGAGTTTTGAGTGATAAAATTCGTTATTTTTATACAATGCCGCGACATAACTTTTTCTAAAACAGTGAAATTATCAATATGATATCAGTTTATGCCCAACAAGGTTTCAATACACGCGCTTCAGCAAGAAGTTACACAGATTTTTATCCTAATCGTAGACAGCCCAACCGAAAATTGTTTTCATGTCTATTCAGTTGATTAAGAGAAACCGGAAGTTTTCGCCCAAAAGAGTCAATAGACGACCTATGGTTTGAGATTTACAGCAGAAGGACGAGGTATTAAATCTTGTTGAAGATACAGTTCTGAATTAATTAGTTATAATTTATGAATTATCTTTAGATTTATCATTATCAAATTAAGAAATTTTGGAGTAATCCATACATTTGCAGTACTAATTTTAAATTAAGTTTTTATTCAAATGATGCATTTTAGCGACATGCAACAAGTATACCTTTTTTAAAGAAAATTAGACGCTTTTTCAAAATTATTAAGATGGCTTTCATGTGCACCGGCGTTACAGGTAATAAAGAAAATTTTGACACCAACGATATTTGATTAAAGGCGTAACATGTTGGAAATAAAAAAACGAACTTGTATTAATTTATGTTATTAGTACTATATTAATCTTTTTAGGTATAAAGCAAGTTCAAAGCGTAACATTTAAAATAAATAAGTAACAATGAATAACACACAAGAAAAAATATATTGAAATAAACTAAATGAAATTTTACATAATAAAATGAGTGTTTTTTTTTAAATTCTGCAAAATAAAACATAATGTTCTACATGTATTAAAAAAAGATTTATTTTTACTTAATGAAGAATGATACTACCCAGATAGCACATACACGTTTAAAGACATCTTAAATACGTTTGTTCGCGACGTTCGTGACGTTTTGAATATCTACGCTAATATCCAAAAGATGTTTTAAAGACGTCTATAGGACGTACTTTGTTACAAAACAAGGCACTTTAGGACATCTAATTTTGTACGTCTTTAAGACATCCAGTTTTGTACGTCTTGAAGACGTGTTTAAGTCGTCGTGTTGATGGAAATTCAGTTAAAAAAATAAATGAATACTTGTCTACTATATTTAATACTGTTTATTATACATTATTAAACTATTTAAACTGACACAACTAAATTAATTTTTTGTTGCTTTTAATACAAAATAAAAATTTGTTTGCCTTTTTTCATCTTAGTACAAAACCTAATAAAGTTTTCAGAAATAGTGTTTTTCTCATCGAAAATAATTTTCAACACTCGTGACGCTGTTATGTATTGACATCTCGATTGACATTGTTATTATTTACCAAACAAATAGACAATCAATTATTTTCAAATAAAAGAAATCTCGATGAATTTTTTTTGTACTTTCTTTCGATTCGTTTCATTAGCTTTGTTTTCTCTTCTGATATGATGGATGAATCTGACGCTTCTCTGTTTATTATATGTTTTTCAGCTACGATTTGTTTTAAGATTGATTGATGGGTATTTTTGTGCGTTGTTTCAGGCTATCGTCCTTCCACCGCTGGCGAAATGGCCCTACGAGAACGGTTTTACCTTCACCACTTGGTTCCGCTTAGATCCGATCAATTCCGTCAATATCGAGAGAGAGAAACCGTATTTATACTGGTAAGTTTATTTAGTTGGATTATTTCATTTGGTAATGTTTCAAATGATAAGCGAAAAGTCAACCTAGAAAGAAACTATTTTAGAGTAGTCTATAGATAATAAATTCTTAATTACTTTTTATTAAAATACGGGAAACATTTTTTCTACCAGTTTGATTTCTTTGGAAAATATATGTATACCAACCGTAATTCGGTATATTTTAAGATATTTGATAAAATAAATATTCAATTCATATTAGATAAAGTATACGTATGTAATTATATCTAAGGAAGCTAAATATAAAACACATTAGTTTGAAATTATATCTGCATAGTTGAATTGAGATACAACAAAGATTTCTGGTAATTTTTTTCTCACTTCATAGTTTAATACTGCTGGATATCACTGGCAAAATGTCTAAAATTCTATTTAAAATATTATTGACATGTTTTTTGAACCGGAATTCATCGTCAAACATTAGACTTATATTTTTTTGTAAACTTAGTTTCTTTTTTTTATCCAAATGTGTCAACATAATAAATAACATAATCCAAAAAGTAGAACTTTTCTTAACACTTCAAATGAATTGCTGCAATATTAGTTTGTGCAAAAAAAGTAGATATGATAGCCATACCACACGAAGACGAAGTTTGAGTACAACGCCATAGGGCAGGGTTCAATCGTCTAAGTGATATACGGACAATTTACTCAAGTTGTCCAGTATACTTTTTCTACGATCTATTTATGAAAATCTTCAAATTTAAATAAATAATTTATAGGTTATTAAGATAAAATGATTATTTTAAAATTAATTAATGACATTTATTTATATATAAAATAGAAAACGATTTTAATTAGTATTCACTACTGGATTTGAAGCCCAAACCTTCTGTTTGGCAACTCGGAACTCTACCTCTGCGTTAATGAGTTAACTAACTTTTCTTTTTTGATATTCATAATAAAATATCGTGATTTAATTTTACTCTTTTAAGTAAATATTCCATTCAATGATAAGTGTATATTATAAATAATAAATTTTTATCAAATTTGATGCTTGATTATGAATTTCGAATTGTTGCATAATGTTCTAACAAGATTTTTTTTTTGTGAAATGTAAGAAAAACTTTCTTTGTATAAAAAACTATCCAACTAACAGCAATCGTTATAATTTTCATTTACTTAAATTTTTCAGGAGATAAGTGGGAAAAATAGCAATTTAAAAGCGTTTTTTCGAAAAACTGTCGAAGAAAACGTAAAACAAACGAACATAATATTATATATTTTTGAAAACATGCTGCAAAATGCTTTTTTTTGATATCACAGGATTGCATCAGAAAAATTCTAACTTGAATTCAACCCCCCTCCCCCACCAACTGACTTCCAAGACAAAGAATTTACGCTTCTAGTTAACGCTGAATTTGTGCCATTGTTAACAAGATAAACAGGCGTATCTCAAAATTACAAGATTTGAGTAATTTAAGATTTTTTATTGACTTCAATCTAAAAACTAAACTAAACTAAAAATCTAAAAAAGTTGCTTAAAAAATGCTAATAACATAAAATCTTGTGTCAGTGCCTACATATAACGTATATAAATTCCGAATACGCCTTTTGATGGTCCTAATTCAAATACAGGAATTTTTGAGATACGCCCCTTCGCCATGTTAGTGACGAAATTTCAATTGTGTATATCAAATAGTCTCTGAGTAAAACGACTGTGACGACAGACAGACAGACAGAAACCGAGGTGAATCCATAAGTGTTTCTTATTGCCAATTTGGGTACTAATAAGACAATTTATTTGAAAAATTCGTTTTTATCTTTAACATTTTTAGTTTTTTTCATGTTTCGTCCTGAGTATATCTTTTTTAAATTTAAATTTGATATACGTTTTTATCACGAGAGAATTGAGACGAGACGAGAGAAAGGCTTTCTCGAGCGAGAGATGCGCCTTCTCGTTGAGAAGAAAGAACAGTTTTTCCTCACTCTACGAGAGGAAGGAGGCCTCTCTTTAGACGGGTGTGAAGTTATCCACATCCAAAAATATACACTGAGAAAAATACATCTCCATTGTAATAGTCATATAACTTAGTTCAAATGACATGTAGATTTGCAGATTTCAATGGGGAAGGTTTCAATACATAACAATTATACCCGAAATTAACTTTTGCTGTCTGAGGGGGTGTAATTGGGAGTGAAAGTTAAAAAAATCATAGAAGCCACAAATGGCATTGTACACCTTTCAGCTTGAGATATGTTATGTAGTTTGCTATTTTTTTCATCCCTGATACCATGCTGGAGTTTATCAAGCCGTTTGAGGGGATGCAATTAGGGGTGAAATTTAAAGAAAAGTCATAGAAGCAACAAATGGCTTTGTACACCTTTCAGCTTGGGATATGTTATGTAGTTTGCTATTGTCTTCATCCCTGACACCATGCTGGAGTTTGTCGAGCCGCCTGAGGGGGTGCAATTGAAGGTGAAATTTAACAAAAAATCATAAAATTCACAAATGGCTTTGTACACCACCAATCGCACCCCCTCAGACGGCTCGACAAACTTCAGCATGGTATCAGGAATGAAGACAATAGCAAACTACATAACATATCCCAAGCTGAAAGGTGAACAATGCCATTTGTTGCTACTATGATTTTTTTCAATTTCACCCTAAATTACAACCCCTCAGATAGCTTGACAAACTCCAGCATGGTATCAGGGATGAAGAAAAGAGTAAACTACATAAAATATCCCAAGCAGAAAGCTGTACAAAGCCATTTGTGGCGTCTATGATTTTTTTAAATTTCAATCCCAAATGCACCCCCTGACACTGGTCGACAAACTCAAGCATGGTATCAGGGATAAAGAAAAGAGCAAACTACTTAACATATCATGAGAAGAAAGGTGCACAAAGCCATTTGTAGATTCTCTGATTTTTTAAAATTTCATCCATAATTGCACCCCCTCAGACGGCTCGACAAACTCCAGCATGATATCAGGGATAAAGAAGAGAGCAAACTATATGACATATCCCAAGCAGAAAGATGTACAAAGCCATTTGTGGCTTTTATGATTTTTTTTAAATTTCACCTTTAATTGCACCCCCTCAGACGGTTCGACAAACTCCAGCATGGTGTCAGGGATAAAGAAAAGAGCAAACTACATAACATATCCCAGTGGGTCCTTGAGAAGAACAAAAAAAACCGTAATACGTGGCGACCTCGGAAAAAGTATCAGTGTGGGGACCTTTTTTACGCTCTTCAATGAATCGGAGCATGAAAATAAATGTATAGGTGGGCCCTTTTTCCTCCTGAATCGGTAGGTCCCAATCCGGCACTGTTCTAAGCATTTCCACTCAGCAACTCTACTTTTAAATATTATGCTGCACTAACTCAACCAAACCAATTGGCATACAATCGACTCTTCCAAACTCGACCAACTTTCTCGACCTCCCATGAATCATCCCTTCATTGCGTGGCTTAATTCAATATTATTAGTTTATAATCGTTTAACTTTCTCTTAGCCTTTATTCAATATTAGGTTTTAATTACCACATCTCTCATCTAACCAGTTTGATGAGCTAAACTTTTGTTATATAAATACGTCGTCCGTTACCTTCAATTACATTCCATGGTTTCCAATTAATTTTGTATAATCATTTAATATGTAAATATGTAATATTTTTGAAATCTTCCTATAACGTGGTTAATTTTTTGTGTTTTATGCCTAATGATTGCAATGCTGGCAGAACTAATCACACCTAGGCCTTATGTGGCACAGATTTAGTATTTTATTATTAATTAAGTTGATTTGACATAGTTATATTAAAATTTACGATTTATTTGTAAGATAACTTATTTTTAAATATATTCAATCTCAATAAATAAAAAATATTCTGACATTTAGTTTGACAGAATTGTCATTTATTTAAAGTTTAACAAAAATAATAGTAGCCCAGTCATCAAATATTAACTGCAATTGGTTAATTTCATATCCGTACAGTGTCCTTAGTAGAACGGATATGAAATATACAGGGTGTTTCTAAATTCATGCGACAAAATTCAGGAGGTGATTGCTCGTATGAAATTAAGATAGGTCTTTTCTATAACGAAATTTCCTCAGCCCACCCCTTTCCGAGATATCACCCTTATGAGGGGTGACTAAAATTGAGTTTTTATTTTTTTTTTTAATTTGTCCAATTAAATAACGAAAGAAAGCCCCTTCGAGCTTACACTAATTTGTAATTGGATGAAAAAACCGGAAGGCTTAGTTTTTTTTGAAATTTTTTTCCTATATGATTTTCTCCGGGTTTTCCGAAAACATCTAACAAAAAATATATATGAAAAAACTAACTGCGCCATCGGAAAGAGCACAAAAAAATATACAAAAAGGTATATTTTAAAAATGTTAGGAAATTAATCCTAAGCCTGACTGTAAGTTCCAACTTGGTGATAAGCTTGTTTTCTTATCGGTTGATGCTCCATCCTTCGTTTTTTGGCATTGTCAATCGCGGCCCTTTTATGCCTATCCCAGGTTTTATAAATAAACTCTTTTGCGTGACGTCGAGCTACGTAATGTTTGCGACACCTCTCATGCAATATGAAACCTGGTTCTAAAGGACTGAAAAATCATCCCCCTTCTCTTTGCTGATCGTCTGCAGACCTTTCAATACTGTCGGTCTAATTGGGGTAAGTTCACCCTCTGCAAGTGTCTGATAACATAATAAACACAGGCCAGCCATAGAATTTTCTTAATTTAGGAACGTACTTACTCAATAAATTGCTGAAGAAGTCCGAAAAACCACGTGTACACAGAGCTTGCTGAACACGGTTATTAAAAATCTATGCCGATGAACACTATCAAGCGATTCAATTTGTAATAATATGACCATTTGAAGTTTAAACTTGTCGGATAACGAACGCCGAGACCATGGCTATCCTTGATACGACGTGCGGCTAATTTTGCGGTAATTCTATTTTTTGCACAAAACTGGAAATCACAAAAAAATCAAATTACAGAAATGCAGT